ACATGCTTAAGAGTCAATAACACATTGGCAACATCGCGCTTGTGACATAACGTCACTTAACATCCTTCTTTTACTTGCAATGTTAACAATTTGCAATTAATAAAAACCGCTAATTAAGAAAAAGCATCAAAATAATGAAAATGTTGAAAATAACATAAAATTAAACTGAATTTAGCAGAAATTTAAAAAAATTAATAAAATTAAAGGAAATTTGTTAAAAAAATGTTTAAAAAATTAAGGATTTTTAAAGAAAAAACTAAATTTCTGTATAAATATTATTATAAACCAAGTAAATAACAAAAATGTTCTAATAAAACTATAAATTCTCAGGGAAGCCCATAATAGTAAACAATTGAAACCTCTTTTTCATACAACAAACTTATTTTTCATTTCTAATATTCTATAATTTATGTAAAACGCAATAATTTTTATTATTTTAATTCAACTAAAATGTTTAATATGGCAAATCATTTCATTTCTCTTCAGTTTTTTACTACAAAACTTTCATCATCTATTATGAATAAGTCTAAAGTAATATTGTTTTAAAATTTAAATTAATTGCCACTTGTTTACATTTTTTTTAATTATTATGTATTTAATTTATGATAATAATTATTTATTGCAATTAATTAATTCATAAACATTTTTTCCTATGAGAAACTTATGTCTCAAAAAAAAGTGGTTTTAATTGTTGTTTTTTTATACATATTATTTTTATAATGTTAAAAGCTAGAATTAAGGTTTCTTGAACCTAAATCGGTTTAATCCAGTTAGTGACAAGGAAAGTTAAAAAAAACCGGTAATGTAGTCATTTGCCTAATCACTAATAGAACTGTTTGCTGTTTTTTTAAAGATTAATAACAATTTTTTTATTGCTGTAAATAAGAACGGAACCAAATTTGTCAATTAGATTATAGTAATAAGGAAATGTTGATTTCAATTCAGGGTTGTCTTAGAAAAAAAACTGGAGCCATAGTCGAGACTATAGACCAAAGACTAGAAAATAGTACAGACTTAATTAACTAATTAATATTTAAAAAAATTTAGTAACATTGTAACAAATTCTGGAAATTTTGTTCACTTTCTCTCAAATGCTTTCTTTAAAAAATTTAAATTTATTTTCTAGATATTTTCCATTTTGGTTCTTACTTTCTTTAGTTTTGTAAAAAAACTTAAGTTTCTTCTATTAAATTCTTAAAAATTGTTTAAAATATTTAAAAAATTCCTTTAATTAAATCTTTAGTTATACATTTTATTGTTTATTATATTTGCTTTTATTTAGTTACATAAAAACATATAAATTAAAAAAACACTTGTTTGTTATTAATATTTAAAATATGGACACATGTTGTTTTTTTGTAACAACTCAAATAAATTATTTATTAACAAAACTTTTCATAAATTTTATAAAAAGTGATCAATTTAAAAAAAAGTGGTTTTGTGGTTTAAAAAATTTCTATATATTTTAATGGATTAATTGTTATTTAATTAAATTTAATAACATGTTATAAATAGTTATTAAATGTTACATTTGTAAAAAAGTTATTATAAATATTATTAAACACTCAACAGCTGGTCACTTTATATAAATATTTCAAAAATTTTTTAAAACGTAGTTATTAATTCGCATAAATTTTTTTATTTAAAGTAAACTTTGTTATAGATTTATTTGGTTTATTCTTTTTAATAAAAAATGTAACACTATTGTTTAATAACAACGCAATTATGTTTAATAGTAATTTTATGGTTAATAAATTACATTTTTTATGATTTTTTATGTTTTACGTTATAATTTTTTTGTTAAATATATTTTTTTTAATAATTTTTAAATTCATGTAGCGTTTTTATGCGTGCTTAAAGTCAAATTTTTCAAATAAAACTGTGATTTAGTTAAACTCATTTACTAAAGATGAGTTACAAAAAATCTGTATAAAAAAATATACAACATACAACTAAACCATAATCATTGAACCGTTTTATATTTGTAGAATTACTGCTGTTGTCCCCTGGAAGCTTGAAAAATGTTTAAATTTAAAACGAATCTAAAAATACCCTATTTTGCAGTAAGAAAAAGCGCCTTTTTTAATAAATATAAGCAGCACTGTTCAAAAATGTTTTGTTTATCTTTTCATCAAAACAAAACAAAGTTGCAGAAGTGACAGTCATTAAACATCATAACATCTCTGTTATAAAGTGAAACAAGCCTGGTTTGTTTTGTTTACATTTTAAACAGAAACAAACGGTTAAATATAAGAACAACTTTGCTGTCAACTAAAAAAACAAGAAGGAGAATGGCTTTGTTTACATTTTAACTGAAAAAAACGGCATCAAATCAAAGAAAAGGAGTAAATAAGCAAATGGCAACTCAATTACAAACTAAAAGCGTGAAAAACACCAAAAATAACAACAAGGTAAGATTAAATCATAATTATTTTATTAATTTAAAGTAAAAACTTATACCAACATTTCACCTAACCTAAAATACCTTCTCTTAAACAATACTTACTTTCCAACAATTGCACCCAACAGCCACAAAACAAACCCCACAAAAAAATATCATCTAATTTGATTTGAGTGGCAAAAAAAATGCCACTTGACAGAAATCAACAACAAAATTGAAATAAATGTTACTAAATACATAATACAATAAAATAAATATTCAAACAATAATACAATACAATCAAATAAATAAAATAAAACTGTGATAGATGGATAGTAGCTGGCAGCTAGTTAGTACTAGCTGGTGATAATGACAATATAGTAATGTTGATGATGAGTTTTTTTTTTTTGTCATGTAGATAAAAAAAATTGAGCACATTTTTTCAAATACTACATGTTTTTTCCTTCCTCTAATCAAGGGTAAACAAAGGCAAGTTATTATTAATAACATAAAAAATTTAAAGTTATTAAAGCCAAAATACTTAAATTAACAAAGAAATAACTAAAGGGAATGTTAACCCCTTCCATTTCTCTACCAGCTTAATGGACGATTTGTTATTTGTAATAAAAAAACCACTAAAATATCAATAAAAGTTATTATACACCAAGAAAAGCAACATTTTAATTTAAATTATCAAACCAATAATCTGTCTGTCCCTCTCGGTAATAATAAATACAATAAAAAACTAAATAAAAACAACAACAATAACAAACTCATGGGGGAAATCAGAATAATATGTAATGTTGTTTTAAAAAAGTGTTTATTTGTTTGTGTTTATACAACACAATTAGCGCCTATGTTTTTTATTGCTGCCTCTGTTATTATTGTTTTCTACTGGTGAACAGAATCACAGTAAAAAAAAAAACAAAAACAAGCAACAAGACTATGTAACTAAAAACTGCATAATGTTATTTACATACATGCGTTAAAACTGAACAGGAAAGTGGAATGAAACTGTTACGTGTTACAGTGGCAGTAGAAATGTAAGTACAATAACATAATGTTTACAAAAATAACATTAATGTTAATGATACATTTGTAGGCCGTGCCTACACTACTGGTATGTTAGTGCACTACAAAAAAGAATTTGCTATTTTCTTCAAATCAGAAATGAAGATGGCAAATTTATACAAAAATGAAACGTGCATCACACTACCCTCTCTCGATAAGAAGACTGGACCACAGAAAATTATTTATTTTAATTTAGTTTTTAATTGAACCCAAAAAAAACGTCATTTTAATTTAGTTTCTAAATAAACCTATTATTCCAAATTTTGCATTAGTAATATTTTGCGCCTAAAAATATGCTCGCAATTTAAATATTTTTTTAATTTTTTAATAGATGGATGGATATGTAGATAGATAGATAGATAGATAGATAGATAGATAGATAGATAGATAGATAGATAGATAGATAGATAGATAGATAGATAGATAGATAGATAGATAGATAGATAGATAGATAGATAGATAGATAGATAGATAGATAGATAGATAGATAGATAGATAGATAGATAGATAATCAAGACATAGATCGAGACCATCTGAAGGTCTAGCCCACATACTAGCTTAAGATCTAGTCTATAGTAAATCTAATGGTTTAGTCTATAAAGTAGTTAGAAAACTAGTCTATGGAGTAGCTGAAGGTCCAGTATATAAGGTAGCATAGTCTATAGACTAACTCATAGTCTAGCCTATGGACTATCTGAAGGTCTAGCCTATAGGCTATAAGATTAATGTTTTAGTCCATAAAGTAGCTTGAAACCTAGTCCATAGACTAGTTAAAGCTCCAGTCTATACACTATCTAAAAGTCTAGACTATAGACAAACTAAAGGTGTAGTCTATAGACTAGCTGAAAGTCTAGTCTATAAACTAGCTAAAAGTTTAGTACATAGACTAATTGAAAGGCTAGCCTTTAGACTATCTAAAGATGTTGTCTATAGACTAGCTAAGGATCTAGTCAATTGGCTAGCTAATGTTTTAGAATATAAAATAGCTAGATTAGCTAAAGTTCCAGTCTATATACTAAGTAAAAGTATAGTCTATAGACTAGATAAAAGGCTAGACTATGGACTAGCTAAAGGTCTAGTCTATAGACTAGCTAAAAGTCACTAAAATAACAATTTACAAAAACGTAGTTACGATCGTAATGCATAATACACACAATCGGAAAGCATTGAAATAAAATGCAAATGTTTCTTCTTGGCGGGCTCATCTTCTTTTTCTTACGATCCCGTTTTTTGTTGGAATACCAATTTCTGATCGTAGCGTGAATGTGGAATGTAATTGAAATGCAGAACAATCTAGTCGATAGACTACTGGTGTATTTTGTAAAGTCAAAAGACTAGCTAAAGCTGTTGATTTAGCATATAGGCTCTTGCTTTTGTAGAGACTAGCTTTTGGTCTAGCCTGTAGATGAGCTAAAAATCTATAGTAGTATAGCTAATGTCTATATTAGAATATAAAATTGCTAAATGCCTAGTCAATAGATTAGCATATTGCGGCAGTCCATATAGTCTAAATAAACTTCACCTGTAAACTACAAATAAAAGAACTCTTTCGTAATTTTCTTAAAAAACATCGTTCAAATGTAAGATCTTTTATTTGAACATTTACTTTTTTCAATATAGTCCGACATATACGCCTAAAACAATAAAAATGTTTTATTTTATATAATTAAAATAAAAATCTCTACTCCTTGCTAAACTTATTCAGAGCGCATCATCTTCTCCTTTTGTCTTTGCAACTTCTTCTTGGACAATTTCTTCTTGGCGGGCTCATCTTCGGAGGCCTTGGCGACAACTTCTTCCTTTTCGGTAAGGATGACCTCAACGTGACAGGGAGAAGACATGTAGGGGTTGATGCGACCGTGAGCACGGTAGGTACGACGACGCAAGCATTGGGCACGGTTGACTTGGATGTGGTCTACAACAAGACGATCAACATCGAGACCCTTGCAGTCAGCGTTAGCTTCAGCATTGCGGAGCAATTGCAAAAGGAATTCGGCGGATTTCTTGGGCCAACGACCTTGGGTGGTCTTCCATTGTTTGGCTTGAGCGCAACGGCCAACACCACCGTTGAAACGACGGAAGGGTACACATTCCTTCTTGTCGACAACAGCCTTCAAGAAACGTTGGGCACGACGCAAAGGCATACGCTTGATGGCCTGGGCGGTTTCATGGGTGTTCTAAAAAAAAGATAAAGAAACAATTTGTTTAGTTATATTGTTGTTAACAGAAATCTATGAGTTGAAGGTTTTGTTTTTTTTTAAATTTGTTTAACAGGACAGGTAGTGTTTAAACTTTTGTTTAAGTATTAACCACTGTTTATCTGTTAAATATATTTAATCTACAGCATTTTTTTCAAACTTAAACAAGTCTTGGTTAATTAAACAACTTGTCATTATTGTCAAATGCTGAGCTAAACAAAAAAGTGACCGAGAGTGAGGGAGTTTTGTGTTAGTTTGTTTAACAGGACAGGTAGTGTTTAAACTTTTGTTAAAGTATTAACCACTGTTTATCTGTTAAATATATTTTATATACAGCATTTTTTTCAAACTTAAACAAGTCTTGGTTAATTAAACAACTTGTCATTATAGCAAATGCTGATGGGATAGGATTCTAAATGGAGCAGGTAGGGGTATACCTATTGGATTAGACAGAGCTCTATACCATAGATTAGACAAGGGTATAGTTTATAGATCATCGATTTAACAAAAGTCCAGTTTATAAACAATACAAAGGTCTAGACGACTGATTTGAAAAGATCTTCCGGATCACACTATTTTGACGGATTTTTCCACTAATTTTTATCACTATTGTTACGCACCTTTAGTTCTGACTAATCCGGATTCCTAACTTCAAAATGTTTCACAAGATGTACTTAAAAAGGAAGAATTTCCATCCGTAACTAAAGTAAACAAAAAATTTACTTTAAAACACTTAAGGATTCCACAAAATCTTTCCAAAACATAATTTTTTCGAACTCTTCCTTTGAAATCTTAGATTAGAAAACATTCCGACACTATTTATGCTCAATTTTTATCAAAAAATTACTTTAAATTAAAGATTTTTATAACCAAGTCTAAGAAGAATAAAAGATATTGAACAAAATCTTAAATTCTGCTGATGCTTGGCCCACCACACTTCATTCCCCTTGGGGAACTCACTGTTTTAATCTAGCATCTTTGCAAAAGTTACTGGCACAATAAAATACCACCAAGCACTGATTTAAGATGCATAATTCCAAAAAAAACTAAATTTACTTCACAAAAACTGCAAAAACTAACCTCACTTTCTCACACTTTTCAACATTATTGTTGTTTTTGTTAAAAACACACATGTCAACTTATTAACTGTCACTTCCATTTGCTTCCTTCACTCTTCTTCTATTTCATCAAACACTTGTATATGATTTTTCCAACTTACCTTGAAATGCACACGTAGATTTGGTCCACGGGCTTTGCAAGATTTGGCAGCTGTCTCTGGTTCCCTTGAGTACCGACCCATTTTGTGTTTAATTTCTATTTAAGCCACAGCAACCGCACAAAACATAAAAATAAACAAGTAAAAGAAATATATCAGTTGATGTTTTCTTAGGAAAGGCCATCTTCCTTAATTATGTTTATTTTTCTCTTTTAAAACACTTTTTCTTTTCGATATTTGTTTTGTTGTTTAAACAATATATGAAATTTTTTCTTAACATTATTAATAAACACAATTTTATTTATAGTTTTAAGATGTTTTAAAATAATTTTCTTGATTTTTAGCAAAAAATCGTACCTTCTTCTTAGTGAATTAAACCGGAAAAGAACTTTTTTGACAGCTGTATTAGGGTGGGTAAAGCAGTGTAAACAACAGGGTTGCTTTTAACTTCGACAAATGTCAAGGTTGAAAACAAAACATTTAGCAGGGTTGTATTTAGTAAAATAAATAGCAATGCCACTGGGAAGGAAGTTAAGAAAAAAGCGCTTAAATTAAAGAAAATTTAGAATTATTAAAGATTTTTTAATTTGTTTAAACAATATATAAGAATTGTAGATATTTTTAAGGCTAATAAGCCTTTAATAGTTTCTAAACATTTTTATTACTTAATTTAACATATTACAAATGTTTTAATTTAGTAAAAATTAGCCATAGAAATATTTTTCCAAAATAAAAATAAAGCGGTAAAACTGAATTTACAGAAATTTTTTTTTTTTTTAAATTAAAAAGATTTAAAGTTGAAAAAGAGAAATTTTTCTAGAAGTAAAAATGTGTAAAAAACTGAATTTAAGATGAAAAGGACTAATATAAATTTGCTATGATTTTTTTATTTGTTTATAGAAGTTTTAATGCATTTTTTCACAATTTTTTAAAAATTATGAAACTTGAAAATTAAATTTTTCTTAAATTTTTAAAATTTTAGCATTTCTGATTTTGAAAATTTATTTTGTATTTTGTAAAATTTGTAATTTTTATAAAATTATTGATTTGTCACAATTTGTACAAAATTTATGAATTCTTACAAAAGTTATGAATTTTTACAAAATTTATAAATTTCTACAAAATTTAAAAATTTATGAATTTTTACGAAATTTATGAATTTTTACAATATTTATGTATTTTTACAAAATATATGAATTTTTACAAAATTTATAAACTTTTACATAATTTATAAACCTTACTTTTACAAAATTTGAGAATTTTAACAAAATATTCATTCAAAATTTTAGGACTTAACAAAATTTTTGTTTGATTTTTACAAAATTTGTGATTTTCTTAAAATTTGCAAAATTTATAAATTTTTACAAATATAAAGAATTTTAACTAAATTTTTGTTTGACTTTTTTTTACAAAATTTACGATTCGTGACAATTTGTATGTATTTTTACAAAATTTACAAATATTTACATAATTTGAGAATTTTAACAAATTTGTCACAATTTTTATGTATATTTTTCAAAATTTAAACATTTCTCCAAAGTTTTTCTTTAATATGTGTTTTTAGAAAATTTATATTTTTTTTTTATAAAATATATAAATTTTAAAAAATTATGAATTTTAAAAAAAATTTGAATTTTTATAAAATATATGAATTGTGTCTGGCCGTGTCGCTTAAGTTGTTATTTTAATGACGGAGCTTCGAAACGAAATGCAGAATACCAAAATTGCCAAATAGGAATGTTTGTAAATTTTTCAAATTTTGGCGAATTTTTAACACATTTATAAAAAATTTCTGAATTTTTACAAATATAAAAAAATATTTAAATTTTTACAAAATTTAATTTAAAATTTTTAAATAATTAAAAAACATTGGTGAATTATTTAAAAACTTGCATTTCTTCTACTGTAATACAAAAAATTATCAGTTTTTACTTATATTTTTTTAAGAAAATAATTTTTTTTAAAAATTAAAAAAAAAATAATGGTGAATTATTAAAAAATTAGCACTTTGTTGTACTGTAATACAAAATTGTTAGTTTTTACTTATATTGAAACAAAATTCATATAAAAACTAAAATTATTAGTCATTAATGTTATTAAATTTTAATTGATTTCATATTTATTATCAAATTTAACAAAAAAATGCAGATTTTTATTTAAAAACTGTTAAATCGAGTATTATTTAACTATTAAATAGCTTTTGTTTTCAAATTTCAAAGAATTCCTTTAAAAAGCGCTTATTTATCTTCAATGTTTACTTATTGGCAACTCTGTTTGCGAAGCATATGACATTTAACTGCATTACCTTTAATACAACTGTTTATAAGAACTGCCTTACCTTTATGTTGGCTACAAACTAATATGGCATCTCTTTTTTTTACATATAGAAACATTAATAACAACAACAATTGTGCCAAAAAGGGGGTTGTAGGCAAAAAATGACAACAAAACAGATGGGTGAATTGAAAGGAAAACTCAGCAGCAGCTAAAAAGGAAACTACAGAAATCTGAAAAAAGAAACAGCTTAATAAAAATGACAAGCTGAATTAAAAATTAAAACGTAAGCTGCAGACAAACGAGTATAAAGTAATAGTTTGTAAAGGCGGGAAGGCAAGAAGTACAGAAAAAAATTTTTTTCATAAAGAAAATTGTGTTAAAAAAGTTATTAACTACAGCAAGGAGTCCATTCAGTGTTAGCCATAAGGCTTATTAACAAGGTTTCAGTGATTTTTTGTTTTATGGTGAAAAGTTTTAAAGCCTTTGAAAAGGTTTTTATACAAATAATTAACAAAAGTGTTGCAAAAGTTAAAGATTTATGAAAAGTTAAAATATTTAACAAACTAAAGGAAATTAAGTTGCAACAATAACATTTTTAAGTGTGCAAGAACTTCAACTTTAATTTTGGGGTAAGTTTAAGTTAATAATTTGTTAATATGTGATTTAGTTATAATTTTATTAAACATCCAATAAGAATTTCATCATTTTGTAAGATTTTCTTTAAGAGCGTCCTTTTTGTTGTTGTAACTTTTTGCTTTGCCACCACCCCAAAATTACAACAACAATATTGAAACTCAATTTAGACTTGAAGGGAAATCGTTTATACAGGATTTATTATTTAAGTCTGTATTGAACAATATGTTCAAATGTGTTAGTGGAAATGTCTATAAGTGTGTGTTTGTGTGTCTGAGAGTGGGTAAATTATTTTGCACCCTTGTTTTTTTTTTTTTCTATTAAACCCTACTTGTGTCATCATTTTTTATTTTTGGTAGCAAACACACAAATCTCTGTTTATTTTATAACGTCATTTTGTCCTTTTTCTTATTGTCTCTTGCTGTCTCTTTCGTACTTTAGTTAAACCTTGTGTTGGCAGCTTCAAAACTACGTTTTAATCCTTAAACTTTAACCTTCTAATTTTTGTTGTTTTTGCTTTTTATTTTTTTCTACTTTTCCCTACTCTTCTCTTCGTTTGTCAAAGGACTCTCCTTTTATTTACTATCATTTGACAGAGTAAAAGAAAAACAAACTTAAAACAGCATGCTTTTCATTCATTGTCTATTTGTATGACATCAACTCTTGTCTAAAGTTACGGTATTTATTAGCAGAGATGGTTAATACAGTGCCATTAGAAATTAGCAAATTACTTAAAACTACCTCAAAAACAAAGAAATTAAACTGAACTTACAGGAATTAAAGTAATTTTCTGAATTTTTATTAAAAATTAAAACATCAGTGGTAAATTCAACTAATTTTTCTTTAATTTTATTAAACATTTATTAGTAATAATAAAAATTTCCGTTTTCCCTCCCTGTTTAGCACATTTACTTATAAGTTTAAACTTTTTGTTTTGCTTTAAAGTCCTTGTTGTTTTTGCTATTGATGTCTCCTTCATGTGTTTTCCTTATAAGTAATTCTGTAATTATTTTAAAGGTTTTTATTAAATTTGTTTCGTTTTTAACGTTATTTTTCTAACAACTGTCTCTTGTTTGTTAAACAGCGTTGGATAAGTTAGTAGTAACATAATTTATGACGTATTTTTAATAAATGCGAAGGGAATTGTTTAGCAAAAGAAGAAAATATTGAGAATTTAAGATTCTTTTGAAAATTATTTGGTAGATAACTCAAAAATTCCTTAAACTTTTTTTAAAAGTCATAATTTTGAGAAAAACAAGTTTCCTTCTACAAAATTTTAACTTTTTTCTACATTTTTAAAATTTTTTACGTATTTTTAAAAAATTTTGTAAAATTTATGATTTTGAAGTTTTATTTTGTCGTAAAAATGTTTCGTCAAGTTCTCTAAATTGTTAAATTTAAGAATTTTTTGGTTTTTAAGCAGAAAAGTATCTCTCATAAGCCTTACATTAAAAAAATTGACTTTCGTTAAGTTTTTTAAATTGTTTAAAATGGAAAATTTTTCGAAATTTTAAAAGTGGCTGTGATTGGCTATAGAAATATGAAATAAATTTTATTTTTCTGCTTTTCGTTTAGTAATAAAAGTTTCGTTAAGTTTTTCAAATTAACCAAATTACAATTAGTTTCTGGATTATTAAATTAGCTTTAATATGCTTTTTAAATATATAAAAATTATTAATTTTTAACTTTTCATTAAAAAATAAAACATTCGTTAAGTTTTTAAAATGTACCAAGATGAACATTTTTTGAAGATTTTTAAAGTAGCTTGGCTCTAGAAATATGCAATAATTTATATTCCTCTGCATTTCGTTCAGAAATAAAAGTTTCGTCAAGTTTTTTAAATTAGTCAAAATTAAAAATTTTTCAGATTTTCTAAAATAGCTTTAATATCCTATACAAATATATACAGATTTACAATTTTAAGTTTTTCGTTTAGAAATAAAAGTTTCGTCAAGTTTTTAAAATACACCAATATGGAAAAATTTTCGGAATTTTAAAAGTTACTTTGTTTGGCTCTTGAACTATGAACTAAATTTTACCTTTTGCTTTTCGTTTAGTAATAAAAGTTTCGTTAAGTTTTTTAAATTGTCAAAATTAAAAATTTTGCTGATTTTTTCTAAAATAGCTTTAATATGCTTTTTAAATATATAAAAATTACACATTTTTAGCTTATCATTAAGAAGTTTCGTTAAGTTTTTTATAAGGTCCAAAATGAAAATTTTAAACGCATTTTTAAAGTATGTTAAGTTTTTCAATATGGTCCAATTTGAGATTTTTTTCTCAAATGAGTTACATTTTTCTGATTGATTATAGAAAAAAGTTTGAGTTTTAATGCATCTATAGGGAAACTGAAGTTTCGTTAACAAATAATTATGTTTCCTTTTATTTCCTTCGTTAAGTTTGCTAAATTTTCCAATTTCCATAAAAATTTCTTCAATTTTATTAGATTTTTCTTTTAGTTTTATGAAACTGATAAAAAGTTTTACTCTTATGTAAAGAAAAGGTTTCGTTAAGATTTAAAATTCTTAAAATTCCTTTAAAATTATGAAAATTACAATTTTTATAATATTTATATTAATATAAAGGCATTTTATTGCTTAAATTAACAAAATATTGTGATCTTTTAACATTTTTCTGTAATAATACATAATTTAGCATTGCACTGTATTATCCAACCCTGGCTTTGGTAAACATCAATACTAAAAACTTTCTCTCTATCGCTCTTTCCTTTAACAACTAATACTAACTGCGTTTGATTTGTCAATAACTTTCTTTTACTAGTTGTTGTGTATTTGTTGTAAATAGAACTGTTCGATTTTGTAAACAAATTGAGAATTTATAAGTTGGTGTGAGTGTGTGTATGTAAGTTTATTCTCTCGTGTTTTAAGTTTTCATGTTTATTATTGTCCTTTTTGTTGAATACCTTTTACTACTATTGTTGCTGTTGTTGTTGTTGGTTTTTATAGCTCGTTTCAATTCGTGCTTGTGTTGGGTTTTGTTCTAGTTCAATTTTCTTTATTGTTGTTGTTTTTAACAGTTATTTTGTTTTGTTGCCTCTGCCATTAAAAGCTTACAATATGGTATTTTATTATAATTACTATCGATTAGTTTTAAAATGACTGTCGTTTTTATAAGTACGTGTTTTAAAGTTTTATTTTTATTTTAAATTTAAAGAAATTACACTTTAGTTCTAATCTAAAAAGTAAGTAAAATGATAAAATGTTTCTTTAAAATCTCTACTCAATTCAAAAAAAGAAAAATCATTTATAAACATTTAGCGGAACTCATTTATACATAAAAATTTTGTTATAAATAGAACTTGAACTCAATCTTTAACACAACCCATGCACAGACAGTTCTTTACTTGAAAATCAAACGAATAAAAAAAATACCTTAAAATACCAATCCAACTCTCTAATTTGCTCTAGCAGTCAGCAGTAAAGAAAGAACTATAAATATCTTCTCCAATAGCTGTTGTTTTTATTATTTTGCCCTAATGTCTGGATACTTTTTTTGATCGCTGGCATAAGCAAAAGTGTAATTTTATAAATTTAGATAAAAACTTGAAGCAATATTTTATGCTTTTTTTCTGTTGGATTTTATGCATTGCACACACACTAGGGATCAGTTTTACAGCATCATGATCATCATGATCTCACTCTTAGGCCTAATCTTGCTAAAAGCATATTTTATTTTAGTGAAAAAATTACGTGTTAGACAGTTTATTAAAAGAATACAAACGTTATTTTAATAAAAAATAAGAATTTTTTCCTTCCTTTAAAAACGGGTACCCGTTTAAAAATTTGTATTTTTAATAAAATTGTTCTAGATTTCTGTTAGTTATTTTATAAATATTAAAAATGTAAAATTCTTTACAGAATTTAATGAATACTGGTTACTTTTTCAAACGGGTACCCGCTCCAAATTGTACGTTTTTGTTAAAAATTTTAAATAACTTCTGTTTATTATTTTATAAATAGTAGAAAAATGTATTTATTTTTATAATTTAATGAATACTGGTTACTTTTTCCAACGGGTACCCGTTCAAAAATGTACTTTTTTACTAAAATTTTAAATACCTTCTGTTTGTTATTTAATTAATAGTAGAAACATGTATTTATTTTTAGAACTTACTGAATACTAGTTACTTTATTAAACGGGTACCCGTGTAAAAATTAGTATATTTATTAAAATTTTTAAAGATTTTTGTTAGTTATTTTATAAGTAGTAAAAATATGTATTAGTTTAGAAAATGTAATGAATATTGGTTACTTTTTGAAACGGGTACCCGCTCAAAATTTTATAATTATGGCAAATTTGTTTATACCTTAACTAAGTTATTTTATAAATATTCCAAATCTAAATTTAATTTTAGAATTTGACGAATTCTGGTTACTTTTTCTATTGGGTAACCGTTCAAAAATTTACTTTTTAGCTAAAATTTTAAAAGATTTCTGTTTGTTATTTTATAAATAGTAAAAAACTGTATCTATTTTTATAATTTAATGAATACTATTTATTTTTACTATTTATTTTTAAAATTTACTGAATACTGGTTACTTTTTTAAACGGGTACCCGTGTAAAAATTAGTATATTTATTGAAATTTTTAAACATTTTTGTTAGTTATTTTATAAGTAGTAAAAATATGTATTAGTTTAGAAAATGTTATGAATATTGGTTACTTTTTGAAACGGGTACCCGCTCAAAATTTTATAATTATGACAAATTTGTTAACACCTTAACTAAGTTATTTTATAAATATTCCAAATCTACAGTTTATTTTAGAATTTAATGAATACTGGTTACTTTTTCAAACGGGTACCCGTGTAAAAATTAGATTTTTTCTTAAACTTTTTAAAAATTACTTTTAGTTTTTTTTATTAGTATTAGAAAACTGCTTTTGTTTTTAGAGTTTGATGAATATTGGTTACTTTTTTTAACGGGTACCCATGTAAAAATTAATATTTTTGTTAATTTTTTTTTACAGATTTCTG